GGCACTCGCACATGTGTCCGACCATTAAGATAACAATTTTTTTTTTTTTTTTTTAATTGGCGGTGAATGGCGGGCATCAAATACTAAGCTTAAAATCGGCCCGACTATATTTAAGGGCCGGTTCGGTGGTACATTGAATCGTCGATTTTATAATTTAAAATAAAACAAAAATAACTATGACCTGCCTTTTGACTAGAAACCGGCCCGAAAACGACGGGTGAAACAATAAAAAGTGAGACCCGGTTCAGGGCCTTGGACACATCAATTATCTTAATTATTGGCTCGTTATCCCACCTAAACCACTTCCCAAGGGATAATGATAGATATCGGTGTGCTTGCTGTTAAATTATTCGCTAGTTGTTATAATTAATGTTTTTAATTAATATTAATAAATAATTTTATTATTTTATGAAGATAAATATAATTTATTTATTTTATACACCTAAGATATGAAAATACAATATAGACATCTAAAATGATCATAAATAATAAACATATTTATGGTAATTCGAACCTAGTTATTTTTGGATTGAAATTAAATTTAAAATTTATCCAAACCAAATAATGAAACATGAAATTTTGATACCTTGGATCCTGAATCATGCGAGATCACATTCGAAAATTATATATTAAGAAATTTATATCTATGGTCAAGTATTTATTAAAAATACTATGTATATACCCCAAAAAAAAAACTGTTACTAAAATAAAATTTCGTAGCCATTTTTTTATTTTTTTTTACTTTTCAACATATACATATCTTTTAAAAAATGTCAATATTATAGAAATTGAAATCTCCTGAATATTAGTTTTTTTTTTTCAAATTTATTTAATGATTTCAACGGTTGAAATATGGGTGACAATAAAATTTTAACGAAAATTGTATATTCTTACGGTAAAATTGTTGGAAGAATAGATGTTGGAATGATTAAATTCAATCTAAAATTTTAATGAAAAATTCATTACAACGGAATAATTTCGTTGGAATTTATGGACGGAAATTATAACATTGCAATATTGAAATTTTTCATTAAAATATATTAATGTAGGATTTTACGTTGGAATATAAAAAAAATTTTTGTACTGGTAAATCTCACACATTTATTATAAAAATCAATATATATATATATATATACAAAAAATATGTAGGAAAAATATATTAATTGCCAAAACTCTATTCTAAATAAAAATAATAACTTAAATAATATAGATTTTAAAAATATTAAGATCTAAAAGTATGACAATAATTGAATAAAAATAATTATCTGTGCATAATAATTTTGACCATGATAATTTTTTTTTTTTAATAAATAAGTGATGAAGATTATTAACTATAAGTGGCCCTTGGAAAATTTTCAATTTTCGTCAGTTTACTTGTCTAAAGTCCTTTTTAGGTATATTAACTTTCTCTTCATCAATAGTAGTACGTTATGTTGTAATTTGTATCCTTTTTTGAGACATTACTCATAAAAAACAATGCGCTCTGTTGCAATTTGTATCGTTTTTAGTACATTAAACCAAAATAGTAATGAACCATTTGTGATAACATCTCAATAGTGATACAAATGGCAACATAACCTACTATTATTGATGATGATAAAGTTAGTGTACCAAAAAAGAACTTTAGACAAATAAACGGACAAAAAAATTGAATTTTTGCAAGTGGCCCTTCCCCTTAGGCTTGGCACTTATGAATACCCATCATCAGCCTCGCTATTAATCAAGCAGCACAAGACACTACACAAACAAATTACATATCCTTTTAGTCCCCCACCATAAAAATGGCTGCTGCTGCTGCTGCTGCTCTCGCCACCACATTCGATGCCCCGCCAAGCTGGCCAAACGGCCGTCCGCCACTCGTATTTTCTACCGAGAGCAAGTGGGATCAAATCTTCGCCTCGTTTACATTGGACCATCAGGTACATATACACACGTACACATTAAAACACTTCAGAATTACATGTGTAAAAATGATGTCTTCGTGCACAATAGAAATATACTACCTCCTTTTTAAAATAAGTGTCGTTTTGACTTTTTTGATTCATCCATTTTACTATGTATCTAGACATATACTATGTATCTAGACATATTTATGTCTAGATACATAGCAAAATGGATGAATCAAAAAGTCAAAACGACACTTATTTTGAAAAGGAGGGAGTACTTACATATGTTTAGTGTTTTCGATATTAATGGAATATTAGTAAAAGAACGTCTATCGTGTTTTCGATATTAATGGAATAGTAGTAAAAAAACGTGTATCAAGTCTGTCCTGGTTAAGGTGAAAATTGAAAAATTTGAGATTTGCATATATACACTCGGTACTAGTTGAGTTGGCTCACCTGACTCGTCCGAGTCAAGAAGCATGTATACTACTACTTGACTATTTTTTTGTGCGATTTCTGTTGTGTTCAAGGCCTCACAACTGTTTTTTAAACACACACACTCACGCATGCAGATTCAAGAGAAGTACGCGGAAACTATTTCGGTACTCAAAGAAGAAGCAAAGATGATGTTAACAATGGCTAAAGGGAAATCACTCTGTGAGAGGTTAGTACTAATCGACACGCTCGAACGTTTGGGGGTCGGATATCACTTCGAACAAGAGATCGAGGATCAGCTCGAACTTACCTTGACCGAGTTTGAGAAGGAACGCGAAGACTACGATTTGTTTACTACTGCACTTTGGTTCCGTCTACTGAGGCAACATCGCCATTATGTCTCTTGTAGTAAGTTTAATCAATTTGCTGGATATTTTCTCTGCATTTGTTTAATATGCTTGTATTAACACCATATTATTATTGAAATGTATAGATGTTTTTGACAAGTTCATTGACCAACAAGACAAAAGATTCAAAGAAACCTTGGGTGATGATGCTAAGGGGCTGCTCAGCCTGTATGAAGCAGCCCACTTGAGTATCCATGGGGAACGAATATTAAACGAGGCCGTGACTTTCACGGTGCATCATCTCAAGCGTATGGAACGACAGTTGGAGTCTCCACTTCAAGACCTCGTGAAGCGGGCTCTGGAGCAACCCCTCCACAGGGGCCTTGCAAGAATAGAGACTCGTTACTATATTGACTCGTACGAAAAAGACGACTCGAGGAGCGAACAACTTCTCAAACTAGCGAAATTGGATTTTAATTATTTGCAGAATATGTACAAGAACGAGCTGCAGGAAATCACTAGGTAATCAAATGTTGTTATGCGTATACACCGTAATAATGCGGTTGAGTTATTTTTTCTCCAAGAACATTATTATTATTATTATTATTTTTTTTTTCGGCACAATTCAATTTTAGGATGCGGTTGAGTTTAAGTTGATTGAATTAATATGTATGTTTGAAAGGTGGTGGAACAAGCTGAAGCCGAACCTGCCATACGGGAGAAACAGAATTGTTGCGTCGTATCTTTGGGCGACCTCATTCCACTTTGAACCTCAGTATAAGATTCTACGCGTGGCTGTCACGAAAATCTTTCAAATACTTACGCTTCTTGATGATACTTATGACAATTATGCTACGATTGAAGAAGCTGATTTGTTTGCTGAGGCTGTGGAAAGGTACGCCCATTTAATAATCGAAAAGTTGCATCAACTAGCACTTGAACTACCAGCTCGATCGTTATATGATGCCGCACATATAATATATCATGCTCAGGTGGAATATGGATGAGATGGATGGGCTTTCAAATGAGCTGAAACTCATGTACGATTGTGCTATCAAGTTTTATGACGAGTACGAAGATGAAGCAGCAACACAAGGAACAGCGTTTGCAGTTCCTTATGCCAAAGAGGCTGTGAGAACATTCCCTCTATATCCATACATACATATTGGGCTGAATTTTCGCATGCATATATTAGACGTAATTAATTTTCACGTACCGCATCTTGTTTCTTAAACATTTTGGCATAATCTTTTGATGCTCCATAAATTTTTTTTTTTTCGGTGAAGGTGAAAGAATTATGTTGGGCCCACAGCCAAGGGCTCAAATATACCATGGGAGGACCAATGGCATCATTCGAGGATTACATCTTAAATTCGGTGATTGGTGGTGTCATCTATGCAACATACCCGGCTGCCTTCTTGGGATTGAAATCCGCTAGCCAAGAAACCATAGATTGGCTTAGAAGCAAGCCCAGTATCATTCGGGCTTCGGCTTTGGTGTGCCGGTACTTGGACGACTTGGGAAGCTATCAAGTGAGCACATACGTACATTATTTATCTAACATAATACATAACATTATTAACTAATTAATTCTTTGGGCAACTATCGATGAATGTAGCGCGAGAGCCAAAACGGGATGCTCCTAACAGGGTTCGATTTCTATGTGAAACATCATGGTGGATCGGTGCAAGAGGCTAAGGATAAGTTTGTGGAGCTAGCTGAAGACGCGTGGATAAGTTTTAACACAGAATGGATAGCTAATGTTAGAAGAGAGGTACCAAAGGAAGTGGCAGAGGTGCTTCTTGGTTACGTCCGAGCAGCCGATGTCTTTTACAGGAATAACAGGGATGGGTTCGCTAAATGTCATGCAATGGCACCAGAAGTTTACGATCTCTTGGTCGACCCCATTATCGTCTAACAAATCAGCTTCCGTTCCAAAAATCAGACCACCACAAAATCGTAGCGGCTTTCGTTTCACTTTTCTCTAGTTTCGCTTGATGATGTGGTGATGTGACAACCGTGTGAACACTATTTTTGTTTGTGTGATTCTATTTTTCATTGTATTTGTTTCTATTGTCATTGTATTTGTGTGGCCTCCGGTTGTGTATCTTGAGAAAGACTGTTTGGAATTGGATTGGGTCAATAATCGATCACAAAGAATCGAAATAAAGCCTAAATACTCTACTCTTAGAGTTGGTTGTTTGATCTATAATCTATATCTATAATTTGAGTCGCGCTCATATGAGAATGGTTCTCAGTTAAAGAAATAAGAACAAATCTTAGCCATTAAATCTGATCATCTTAGGGCTACAAAAAAGTCAAATTTTTATACTATTAAGGGTAATTCTGACATTTCTCAAACCAACATATGCAACTAGTGCTGTTAAATCAAACGAGCCTGGCTCGGCTCGGCTCGAGCTCGGCTCGTTAAGGCTCGGTTCGGCTCGAGTTCGAAGCCTTAACGAGGCGAGCTCGAGCTCATTTAAAGCTCGTTTGGTTAACGAGCCGAGCTCGGCTCGGCTCGATGAGGCTCGTTAAGGCTCGAAAAGTGAAATTTATGTAATTTTTTATAGTTCGACTCGTTAAAACTCGAGATCGGCTCGTTAAGGCCTCGAGCTCGAGGCCTTAACGAGCCGAGTTCGAGCTTGATTTTTGGCTCGTTTTCGTAACGAGCCGAGCTCGGCTCGGCTCGTTAAGAGCTCGAGCTCAAACTCAAACACCTAAAGCTCGAGCTCGGCTCGGCTCGTTTACAGCCATACATGCAACAGTGGGTCCCACCACTACAACAATACCAGCAGCCAGCTATCTCTAATATCTATCTCTCTCCCTCCTCTCCGCCCCAATCTCTCTCGTCTCTTTCTCCGCCTCTCTCTCTCTCTCTCTCTCTCTCTCTCTCTCTCTCTTTCTCTCTCTCGCACACACACACAAATCGACACAGACACGGTCAATCACACAACCCGACACTGCCAGACGCCACCGCCAGCCCGCTGCGCCACCGCTTCTCCAATCAGCGCCGCCCCTCATTCCGCCCTCTGTAGTCACCGCTCGCTATCTCTAGTCATCGCCGGCCGCCCAATCGCTGTAGTCACCACCGGCCGTCAGTTCTTGAAATTTCAGACGCACATCAACCAACACACGCTCGTGATTAACCGTGCACATCACCACCCAATCGCATCGTCGTACCGTGTATCGTTAAAGGTGTTCACAGTCCGGATTGGTCTAGTTTTAGCCCAAACCATGACCAAACCGAACCTAACGGTTAATTTTTTTTATTGTCCATAACAGGAACGGTTTTATTTTTTAACCGGCCACAATTCGGACCACATTGGACGGTCCGGATTGGCGGTTAACCGATTAAATCCAAAATCTTTATTTTGGGCCTTCAATTTTTATTTTTTTTTCATTTTAGGCTTAATTTTTATTTTTCAATTTTGGGTCAAAAAAAGATTATTTGGGCCTAAAAATTAAGTAAAATAACAATAATGAAATAAAAATACACAATTCGTTTATAAGCATAAAAAAGGGAAGATGGGAAAAAGTGCAGGTGGAAAAATATGAAAATGAAAAAACGAAGGTGGAAAAAAGTAAAATGTTATAGTGTCTTACAAAATTAAGTCAACAAAAGGCCAAAAAGTGAAAGTGAATGTATTGTATTTGTCGGTCATAGTGAATGACTGAATGTATATATATTTGTTATAATTTTTTAATATTTACCGTTCCGGTCCGGTTAAACCGGCAGTTTGCCGCAGGTAATCCGTTAACCGGACCGGTTATTTCGGATTTTTAAAAAAATTAACCACTGAATTTTTTAAGGCTTTTTTAAATGACCATTTAACCCATCTGCGATCCCGATTGACTTTTTTTTTTTTGTTAAAACCGGACCGTGAACACCCACTATGCATCGGGGCTCCCACCGACGCCGCATCAGCAATAGAACATCACCCTAATTCCACCAAAATCGTCGCCACCGCTGCCGCCGCGAATTACAACACCCAATTCCGCCATTTCCGCCAATCCTCTCGGCTTTCTTCACCCGGAAAAATTGCACCA